TTTGGAATGGGGGTCGTTTGGCTTCTTTGTTAGCCTGCAATGCCCCATACCTGTCTATGTCTCTGAAAGGGGGGTCGTTAAATGGGATTGCTGGCCTGGATGAACAGGTGAGGTCTTCTGTTCTCCTGTAAAGGGGTTGGAGCTGCGATGATAGCGGGAAAGAATCAACTCTATCGCTGCATTGTCGGTTTTTGAAAGCTTCCTTTACGCCCCTCTCAAACCACCTGTCTTCTTTGTCCAAAATGTGGACATTCTGGTTCTCCAAAGAATGTCCTTTAACGCCTCCAGTAATGTATTTCTGCCTGATTGGGAATAGCAAACGCCTACGATGTAGGATTTCCTTTGGAAACTGGTCATTAACGCTGAAATCCGTTCCTCTCAGCTCTCTTTCCCGACTCCTGACCTGCTCTTTTAGTTTATAGTGTCCAAACTTAGCTACAATTGGTCTAGGACAGGTTTTATCAGGCTTCTTACCTTCGAGCCGGTGAACCCAATGAAATGGGATGTTTTTTACCTGATCCGGCAGGTTTTAGCTTCTGCTGAAGGAACTTACGGATTGTCACCTCGGGATCCTGCTGCTGCTGTTCCGGAATGTCTCTAATAGTCCGCGACTGAATGTCCAGAAGATTCGTTCATCTTATTTTCGCCGGACAGCTAGATCGTCCCCTCTGTGACCTTCGTGACTTTGTTCTCTGCGGTAACGGAGGCTAGCTGCGCTTGGCTGTATTACAGCGACTCTCTCAGGGCTTTATGTGGGACTTCTACCGAGGCGAGACGGGCGTCACGGCTCGTTAGCTTTTAGTCAATGGATTCCAGGACGTCACTGTTGCTCCTGTCTGGAGGCAAAGTAGAAGCAGCACTTGTTGAGGTAGACCGGCAGCGTTTGAATGATGGTGTGCCTGTGGAAGTGGGATTTCTAGTTCTCCCCGTTACGATGTTGTCAAAACACTCGTCCAGGTAGCTCTACAGGCTCGTCAAGGTCTCCTCGTCCAGTTTGTTTCCACGTAAAATTCGAGACAATTGTTAATGTTTAAACCTGACTTTGTTTAATTTACAATTATTGACTTGTACTTGCCTGAGTGGATTTGATTTGAACTTCATGTATGTCGCCATTTTAAAGATCTCAGCCGCTCATTCCGCCAATCTGTCAAAAAAAAAGGTGTAGATGTACCGCACAGTCTTGTCCAGAGGAGGGCGCTCTTCTGTGTTGGGCCATGCATCTGTGGAGAGGTTGTTTGGTTTCTCCAATATAAAGAGAACCCAAACTTGGCTTCATTTTCTTTGTTTTTTCTTAGTTTTATGACTAATGGCAACGGTTTACCATTTAACTTTGCATCATCCTTCAAAACTATTTAGTTTTGGATTTTGGTGAATAAGTTGGGGCAGCACCGAGTCTAACCACAAAAAAAAAATGTATGGATGAAACTAATTATTTTGATGGTTTTTATTCTTTAAAAACCAAACAGGCTGTAATGAAAATTAAAATATTGAGTCTATTTTTAAAATGTAAGGAGCAGAATTAAAAAGTTGATTCCAGTAAAGTATAGAGAGCCAACGTTTCTACTTCAGTAAGGTAACAAAGTGTCTGTACTTTGTTACTTGACGCCTCTGTATCTTGGAGCTCCTTATCTTCACGTCTTCTCTAAACAGTGAGGGGGGGGGGGTCAGGAGGAATTCTGGAATTCAAGGTGAAATGAAATGTTTTTTTTATCTGCTTCAGGTCAGCATGAAGTTCACCTGACCGAGGACATCCTGATCAGATCCTCCCAGTAAACAGTTTATGTGAATCTGTGCAGAAACTTCAGCCAATAAACAGAACATTCACCTTCTAGTCAAGGTTTATCTGCAGGTGATAATATCTGATCTGTACGTGTCTGAAGACACGGCTGGAAAGATTACCCCCACCCCACCCCCACAAACACACACAGATAATAAATCCTCTCGTCCAACCCCCCCCTTCTGCCACTTTCTCTATTAGCTTTACACATTTCCTGGATGATAAAGACACTTCTGGATGTTTACAGCTACACTTATAACTCCGTTTATCACTCTGACCTTGGTGTGACCTCTGGGGAGGCGAGTTGAAGCCAAACCATAATCATCTGACCCAAATCCAGGGAACAGAAACAATAGCATCAAGTTTCTGACTCCAAGTCTGCCGGCTTCAATCCAGCAGTGTCTGAAGCATTGTTGCCATGGTTATATGAACGCATTATGGTCGCCTTTTAAGCATTGATGCTTCCTATCGTTATGCGTTTAGATCTGGGGAGCAGGGGTTCACAGCGCCACCTGCAGCTCTGACTAATTTACTGCATGGCTTTAAAAAAACAAATCTACTTTATTTATCTGAACCAATCCCATCATTTCCCAGTGTTTGTTTATTTTTCCCTTTGCTAAAAGGTTCCAGGTCTCAGGTTGCTTCCAGTCACTGCCTTTGCAGCAATCCCCCCTCCTGAGCATGCATGTGGAAACAGTGGAGAGGAAATTAACTTTCTCCTTTCCTAACTTGAGTTTATGAACCATTCCAATAATAGCAGGATTAACAAACAGGAGATTTTTACATTGTGCTAAACTTTGCTGCAGAAGTAGATGGTCCTCTGGAAGACAGGAAGCAGCAACCTCTGCGTTTCTTCTGAGCTCCTTTTATGCGTTAATTGGCACCAAAGCTCTAAAGCTTGACCAATGCTCTGCCATGTTTTGATTCTTTTTGTTTGTTTGGCTTTAATCTGAGCAATGAAACTAAAACAGAAGCTTTTCTCAGCTCTGTCATTTAGCTTCATTTCCATTTCATGTTGGTGCAGAAGCCTTTCTTGTTGACGTTTGCATCATAACCAGAAGTAAATATTCATTTCTGTACATGTTAAAAATTATAAAGCAATTATTTTTATACGTCTTTTAAGAAGATCAACCCTTTTGTCAGGCACTATAAACATTCTCTGGATGTGTTTGGAAAAATGTGTATTTTTGATGGAAAGGTTTAGATTCTGTAACCAGAGAACCAGAAACAGCAAACAGCTGTTAGCTCAGTTAGCTCCAGTGGCGGCT